TCAGAAATTTTTGTGACTAATGATTCTTACATATCTGTCATTCTTGCTTTGGGGAATTTCTCATTTTATCGAATATTATTAGCCTATGACATGAAGACTCTCTCTCTCCCTGGCCTCGTCATCAGCCTTTCTAAGGATGAGTTTTCAGTGGTCAGACTTTTCCTGTAACTCATGATTCCTCCCTCCTGCAATGTTTTGTTTGCCATACTAGTACCAGCAGTAGCTACAAAGGCCACTTTATCTGTGAGACTATGCCTATTCAACAGCCTATGGGTGATCCTATCTTATCAAGGGCAGATCCACCTCTGTAGATGTCTACCCTCTGTCATCCACTCATAATGTCATATCAGAGTAAAATAGGAAATTTTCACTGCCTGATGATGTGAAGGGAGGGTGGGGAAAGCTTGGAGAAGAGAGACCATAATGGAGTCATGATTCATGATTCATATCTTATAATATAATCCAGCCACGCAAATCAACACAAGTCTATATTAGAAGATTGAGGGAAATTGGGATATGTGAGATTAAAGTTTATCTAAAATGATAGTATAGCTCATAGTTCTTTAGGCCATTCCTGCTCAGAAATACCACATGCTATATTCCTGACATCAAGAAGGATATGTGGGTATATGTCTGCTCGGGATTTAAAGTGGGGGCCATGAACATGGACTTTGGGTCAGAAAGACCTGGGTTCTGTCCTTTGCCAGCTGTGTGACCCTAAGAAAGTTATTTAATTTCTCTAGGACTCAGTTTTCTCATTTATAAAATAGATAAATGAGGATAACAGTACATACTCCACAGGGTTGTACAATAGTTAGGATCAAGTTTCTCTGCGAATGATAGAAAACTGAATGCATCAGTTACTGTAACAAGAAAGGCATATATTTCTCTTTCTTTCTTTCTTTCTTTTCTTTCTTTTTTTCTTTTTTATTTTTTTGGGGGGGTGTCATAGGTTAAGTGTTTATTATCAGAGCCCTGGTGGCCTGAGAAGGCAGCAGGTTAACACCTCCAGAAACTGCCTCCTATTTCTCTTTCTTAAAAGTCTGGGTGAGTAGTTTAGGGCTGATATGATGAATCCATACTCCTCAGGACATAATAAGCTCTTTCTATTATTTTGCTCTGTCATCCTCAACCTGTTGTCTCCACTTCCTGATCTAAAATGGCTGCTCAAGCTCCAGCCATCAGATTTTCATTCCAGCCAGCAGGAAAGATAAAAGAGGAGGGGAAATAGGAGGACCTATCTCTTTCCTTCCAACAGTTCTATTTACAAACCATTGGCTAGAACTTAACCTCATGAACATAGCCAGCTGTAACGGAGGCTGGGAAATGTAATTTTTATTCCAAGCAGTCAGGGGCTTAGCTAAATATTGGAGGTTCTTTACTATCAGAGGAGAAAATGGGTATTGGTCCAATATTGACATCTTCCACAGGTCTTTATGAGATTTAAATGAGATAGTTTGGGTAGGGAGCTGAGCGCAATGTTGGCCACAGAGTAAGCACTCAATGATTATTGTCATTGTCATCATCATCATCATCACCACCATGAGAAGGTGAGATTACTTTGAAACTATGACAAGATGTTTCCTTATTTTAACCTCATCTTGCTGATAAAGTCATCCTTATCCATCTCCCTTTTAAGACACATGAGCTTCATCTTTCATGAAGCAGTCTCCTATGCCTCTAATGTGTCCTTATGAAATAAAACTATAAAAGGAAAGCAGGGGAATAGTGACCATTGGATTCAAGATAAAGGTTATCTTTGGCTGGGGAAACAGAGGTGGGTTGGGGGGAGATGGAGGAACCACCTAGTTAGATGTATGTTATTGTCAAGGTCCTTGTTTTAATTTTGGGTAGTGGATTCACAGGCGCCTATTGCATTATTAAAAATAACAAATACCTATAAAATAAAAGAAGAGATACTTGGACCAATGATCCAATGATGAAGGTATGTCATGACTCAAGGATTATAAATAATCCAATTTTATATACCTGAGGTCTTTAAATTGTCTTTCTGTGTATAATATTGCATGACATATGTGTTTGTATGCCAATAGCAGACAAAAATAGTACTTTCTATTTGCATATACTTTTAACTTTTGAAGGGCTTCTGCATATCCAGAAAAACTGTTTAAGTAGTTCATTACAGATGGTTGAAAGCTTGGTGTTATATAAACAGGACTTCGGACTTCTGTATCCTAAGGGAAATATTTTATTTTATCCTTACAGTAGCTCTACGAGGTAGGCAGGACAAATGTTATTGTCACTATTTTACAGATGATAAAGAGGGAACTGAGAGTGCAAGGGAGTTTCATGAGGTTACATAGCTGGTTAGTACTGGAATGGAATTTAAGACTGCATCTCTTGCCTAGTGCTTTTTCCTTTAGTCCACCTGATTCCAGTTATTATTTATGCATTATGCATTTATTTCATGTCTGTTACATGCCAATCACATTATGCCTATGTGTTTGTGTTCATATATGTGTGTGTTTTCAGGGTGTTGTGTGCAGTTTATGTAATCTCTATGTTCTATGTACAAGCCCTTAGAGTTCTTATGTGCCCCCCAAGCCTAATTGGCCCTTGTAACTCCAGGAGGAGTTTCCAGCTGGGTTTTCAGCTATCTTGTTATCCTAGGTCACTGGGCTTCCGTACTTCCCCAGAGACCCATTCTAGGTAAGCAGGCAGCTTAATATCAGGGACCCATCTCCAGGCAGTGATCCACAGAGCTGAGGAGCAAGCCAGCAATGCCTCAATAATGATAATATTGACTATTTCATGATAATTTATAGGTTATAAATTATATAGTTCTATATCAATAGTTATAAACACCATCTCATTTAATTCTCACTCAGCCCTGAAAGTAGGCTTTGGAATTGTTCTCATTTTTTTTCAGATACAAAGAGAGGATACATGGCTGACTCAAGGTAGCTCAACTTGAGGATACATTGGAATTCAGGCCACTTGCCTCTAAATTCTGTATTCTTTTCCATGGCACCTGGCCGCCTCTGAAAGGGCATATAGAGCTTGTCATCTTTCTAGCCTTGTGGAGAGAAGCAGGTGACAGCTCAATGCTAAGCAGTTGGAAGCCCCTAGCGACCCTCTGCAGAGGACAAAAGACCAACTCAGAGCCCTGAGCAGCCCCAGACTCTGGACCTCCTATCAGCTGAGTAGTTGGAGCTTTCCGCCTCTCAATAGGCCCCTTGGGCATCTCCCATGTGTGCCTTGGGAGGTGACAGCAATTCTACAGCTCTAGTGAGGTAAAGGTGTCTTCTGATCTCTGTAGCCTTAGGCAGTCTCTGTCTTTGAAGAGTCAGGGTTTGGGGGAAATGTCTAACCACATCCATCTTGCAGCACAGGAGGAAGCTCTGGGTCCTGTTGCCAGAGGTGAATCCCTCCGCCTTCTCCTCCCAGACCTGTGTCTGTGCCACGCTTGTGATGCTGTCCCCCTGGTACCTGTGTGTCTTCTTCCCTGAATTACAACTCACCACCGCAGGGCCAACCAAGCATGGCACCTTATACTCAGTCAAGGTGTACACTAAATTAACTCTGCTTGAAAAGAGCAAACATTTGTGTTAGGGGAACTATTTCTCTCCTTGGCCGGTGAAGTGAACCTTGCCGGTCCCGGAAGCGACTGTGCTGGGAGGGTAACTCCTGCCTTCCACTCACCCCTCATTCCTTCCCTGCCTGGCCTCAGTCCCCAAGGGCCCCTGTCCCCAGCATGTTCTCTTCTCTCCTTCTTCCTGAGCTGGGTCTCCCCGGACAAGGGAGCTCTAGAGTGTTGAGGGACATAGTAGGGAGCATGCGTAGCCATTGTCTAATTTAGCCTTATCAGTAATCGCCTGTCTGGTTCTTTTGTCTTATTTCTCAACTGTTCTACTAGTCAGAGCTGGGAGGAGGTCAGCAGGGATGTATTTGATGATCACCCCCAAGCCCCTGATGTGGGCCTCTATACACCGCCTCCTCTCCTGATGTGGGTTACACTATAGGTCCGCCTACATCTTTGGTCTTCCTTGGAGACATGGGGCTAACATGGACTAGAACTCTGCTTCTTAAAAAATTCCCACTTCTCCTCATGACTGTAGATTCAGGATCTAGGTTCTCTACATTGGCAATCAGAACCTATCCACCAGACCTTCCCGTTTGTTACATAGTCTTGTGAACGCTGTCCACAACGCCATGAAACGTACTGCTTGCTATTCTTCCCACAGAGGGCTTGCTCAGGGTCACACAGCCAGCAAGTTGGTAAAAGCTCACGAATTCAGGAAGTCTGAGTGTCAATCCATCCTCTTCCCACCCCGTGTCCTGTTTTTAAAAGCTAGTTTACGTGAAAAAAAAAATGTTCAGAGCTATTGATTACAAAATTCTTCATAGTTACATATAAGTCTTCACTGAAAACAATAAATTTATGAGAAAAGAAATACAAAACTCAGAGGAAAATGTTCAACTTAAGAAAATATTTAATATTTGCCTCACACCTATTCCTAGGATGGACTCTAGCTTCAGCTCACCCCTGAGGTCTCATTCAGCCCATACTCCCTAGTCACCCCTTTCCCTCAAAATACACCTTCTCTTCCAATTGGCTGCTGCTAAGAGCCAGACAGCTGGATAAAAAAGTGGACTTTCTATCTAAATTATGCATCTACTTCCATACGCCTCCGCCTTCTCTTTGCGTGGCCCTGATTAATTAAGAATTAGGATTTCACGGTCCCCAATCCCTGTCCCCCAGACCCCAGCCCGGCCCTCTACGCTCCGGATGCCTCGCGTCCTCCCCTTTAAGGCCAGCCCCACCCCCACGCCCACACCTCCCCGGCCCGGCCCCGCCTCCCCAAGCCCTGCCCCCTCCGACCCTCCCCTTTAAGGACCGGCCCCGGACGCAGACGAGGCTGTGACGCGGCCGCCGGCCCCGGGGCTGGGTACTTTGTCGCGCGGCCGCTTCCCCCCGGGCTGGGCCCCTGCCGTCCCGCGTTCCTCCTAGCGTCAAGCCCCCGGGGGGAGGGTGGGCGGGAGGGAATAGGGCGGGTGGGCGCCAGCGGCGCACGGCGGGACCCACGGAGCCCCGCGACCCGCCGAGCCTGGAGCCGGGCCGGGCCGGGGAAGCCGGCCCCAGCCCGGAGCAAACTTCGCCGCCGGGCGGGGGGTGGCGGGGACCCCGTCCGGAGCCCGAGGAGGGAGCGGCTGCGGGCCCTCCCGCCTCTGCTCCCGCGTCTCCCGGCACCATGCTGTCCAACTCCCAGGGCCAGACCCCGCCGGTGCTGTTCCCCAACCCGCCGCCGCCGCCGCCGCCGCAGCCCCCCGCCCCGGCCCAGCTGCCGACGCAGATCCCGCAGCAGTTTCCCCAGTTCCACGTCAGGTCGAGCCTGCAGATCAAGAAGAACGCCATCATCGACGACTACAAGGTCACCACCCAGGTCCTGGGGCTGGGCATCAACGGGAAAGTTTTACAGATCTTCAACAAGAGGACCCAGGAGAAATTCGCCCTAAAAGTAGGTTTGGGGGGCCAGGGGAAAGGGAGGACGGGCAGAGGGGGGCTCCTAGGGGCGACCCCCAGCGCCCTGGGGCGGCCGGAGCGCACGGCCGCTCCGCGTGACCGCGCCGACCCTTTCTTTTCCTGGGACGGGGCGTCCGGGCCGCTGCGGGGCGGTGGGTCCCGGCGCCGAGGGTGCCAAGTGCGCGGCAGGGGCGGGGGCCGCGGGAAGGTCAGGGCCCAGCCGACCACGCCACCGGGACCGCGTTTCCGGTCACCTCGGGGTGTGAGCGGCGAGGGCTCGAGAGGACTCTTGAGGACTCTGCCATTTTGGGGTTTGAGCCAAATCCAGCCGAGTTGGAACGGTTGGCTTCGAGACCACTTCTGCTAATTTCACCGCGTCTCGAGGAAGTGATTTTCGGGGTTTGTGGTTCCCTGTCCTCTGCTCCCTCCTTCCTTTCTTTCTGCGGGCACAAAAGGCCCATTACTCATTGAGCTGGTTGGTCGGTTGGTTTTGAGAAGTCGGATCTCAGAGTTTATTTAGCCTCGCTCCTTATTTGGGAGCCGGAATGTGTGATTTCACTTCCCTGGGCCTCGCGAGTTGCGGCCGTGCCGCCTTGCGTCGTGCCGGCCCGGGAGGTAGGTGCAAGGCTGGGGATTCCGCCCGGCCGCCGCCCCCCGGGGGAAGGAGGGATTGTTTTGATTCGAGAGCAGGCGCCCTCCTACCTTAAGTGCTTGTGAGGCTCCAGATGGGAGGCCAGCAGGCTCCCGCACGGCGTCTGCTGTTTCCATAGCTCCAATGATCATTGTAAACCCGGTCTGGAAACCACACACGGGCCGGTACTGATTCCTCCGATCAGAGGTGGGTGGCCGCTTGAGTCCTGGACATGGACCATTGTTGGACAGTGGGAGGGAGCGTTGCCCTTGAGTTGGGGAAGCCCAACCTCTTTTTTTTTTTTTTTGAGAGGGTTTGGTAGGGGGAGAATGGGAATTTCAGTGAGAATAGCTACTTCAGAAGTTAAACAGAATAGACTTGGAGGTTGATGAGATGAGTGGGTCCCCAGTGCAGTGGTAGCCAGTGTTCAGAAGCACTCAAGATGTTTCTCTCTGGGAGGATTTACGGATTAAACCATATCTCTAAAGGTGGTACATCAGGCCTATTTCCCTTGGGGTATCTTAATGATTGGAGGAGAAAATTACTTCCTGTGTTGTATTTCTCTCTTCCCCCTCAACCTGCAGGGCTAGCTGTATTTCAGCTATTAATACAAAACTCAGATATGTGTTATGGGTGGGACGTTTGGAATATGTAATTAGCTGTAATAAAACTCTGGAACATACTTCAGGGTTATAGAGGATAAGCATGTCCAATTTCTAGATTTTAAGACCTCTAAAATTATTTTCTTGCTGCTTTCATCCAACCTTTTTGGAGAGAGCTTTCAACTAGTTCCAACACTGTCAGATTTCTATGGTTTCTACTTTATGGTGTTGCTATGGGGTTTTGGTTGGTGTTTAGTGTTTGACTATTGGAGAAGGAATATATCAGTACCTTGAACACTTTAATACTTTTTGTGCCTTGGACCACTTTTTCTGTACTTACAACTAGGGGCAGGGAGTGGGAGTAGTTCGACCGTGGCTCTGACCTTGGGGAGTGGAGTTGAGAGAATACTGCTTGACCACAGTTAACCTGTATCATTGAGGAAGTGACAGACATTTCTTTCCAGGAGAATTTTCTGTCCTCTCTGAGACGCTATTCGCCTTCACCCATCAGCAATTTGGGGACACTGGCTACTCATTTTCTTGGAGAGTTGGAATAGTGTGTAAAGACTTCAGAACAGAAGCTCTCAACTTCTTAATTTATTTCATAGACACCAAAACCACCCTCTAAGATGTTTTTGTGTGGCAATGCAGATTTCTGTTGTAATTAATAGGAGATTTGGATAGTTCCCCCTTTTGAGTTCTGAAAGGGAAAATCCAGCAGCGTTTTAAATAACGCTCGTAGTTTATCCTTCTCCAGTTAGTGGGTGAAGACTGAAGTCAGAATCTGTTTTGATAGGCAGCCTGCTCCCAGATCTTATAAGTTGACTCAACTTTTATAGATTTCCCCCACATCTTTGTATAAAAACTTAATAATAGAGGAAGAAAGAAGGGATGAGGCATTCAGAGACTGACAGCAGTGTCAACAGCACTTCATATCCAAATATTGGCTAAGACATAATTACAGTTGTAGGGGGGAACTTGGTTCAAAGAATCCTGTTCTAGGCATGCACCAAAGAGATTTCTAGATCTTGACTCTTGATTAACTTAACCTTAGGTGCTGATTAGTGAAGTGATTTTCAAAACCAGGAGTGTTTTGATTATAAAATAAGGGAGGAAGATGGGTGGGGGGGCAGGAGGGATTGCCCCAACTGGAAAGGGCTTGAAGAACAAGGGAGGACCTCTGCACAGTGTGTCAGGCCATTCCCGGGGGTTTGCGGCACTGAGCGGAGCTGCAGGGCGGCAGCAAGGCCTCTGCTGCTTCACAGCTCTGAGAGTCGATGGGAGGTGGTGACTGCCCAGATGCCCTGCTCCCTATCTGTGGTCTGTGACCTTTTAGCCCTATTAAGTGAAATCAGTGCTTAAAAAAATAGTCTCAGCTTGCCTTGCTGCCTCTCTACTTCCACCTGAGAGATCTAACATTTAAATGCTTTTGGTGAGTGCTGTGACCTCACCTCACCATCTCTTCTGGGTGCTTTTGCTGAGTTTTGAGTCATACTCGTACTTCAGTCAGTGTCAGAAGAGGCTTTAAGGTCATCTCCTCTAACCCCCTCATTTTGCAGATAAGAAAAGTGAGGTCCAGGATAGACTTGCTTGAGGTAATACAGCCATGCACTTGGCAGAGCCAGGATTAGAACCCAGGATGCTTGAGTCCGAGTATCAGGCCTCTTCCCACTTTATAACTGCAGCAACATCAGTAGGCTAGGACTTGGGACTGGCGGCTGTTCCAGTCCCTCAAGCCGGAGGAACTTCACTCTTACCCGAGGCCCTCCTTGACTGTGGTTGAGGGGGTGCTAGGCAGGTATTTATCACCTCCCCAGAAATAATCGCTGAAGTTTGGAGGGGCAATTTATAAACCAGCTCAGCAGTAGCCCCATGAGTTTTGAATCTTTGGTAAACAAGCTTTTTTAGCACCCCTCCCCCTTTTAGCAGTGCTCGATAGAAATCTTATTTGTTATTATTTTTTTGTACAAGAATATGGGAATTCTATTAACTATTTGATAGGGACACCTAGTCTCAACCCACTTCTGTGGGAATTGGTCGCATTCCCCATGGGGTTCCTTAGCTGCTTCCTGCCTCACTGTGTCATGGTGACTCTTAGGTATTAGCTGAACAAATTTAATTAAAGCTGGTATTGTTGTCCCTCTCTACTGTGTGACTCTTACTAGGTGAAGCATGTTATTGCTTTATAAAATATAGAATGTTGTCATAACTTATCTCTGTATATCTTTCTATTGCATGGATTAGAGAAACATGGTCCCGTGGTTACTTCTTCCTTTCTCCAGCAGTCTTCTGTCCCCCGGTCACTTATTGTCACTGTGATATGGCTTTTTTTGGTGTTCTGAAGAATTGCTGAACCTCCCCATGGTTGGTCTGGACACTGTTAAAGGGCACACCAGAGCTCCCACATCCCCACAGCACAGGCAACATCCTATCCAGCACACCTGATGCTGTGTACCTGTCAGGAGCAAGACCGGTAGTCTGGCTGGGTGACGGGCAGTGTTCCCAATTGGGGTTTGCTGGATTGGAATCACAAAGTGAGGAAAGTCTCATTGACCAAACCAGCCTCTTTTATATCCACTATGGTTGAGCATCCTACCGTATGTTTAGTTGTATGGAGGACACAGACACATAAAGTGGGCTTTGTGTGTGTGTGTGTGTGTGTAGGAGTCAAGAACTTGATTTGGGGAGGTGAAATTAACATGTAGTCTAGGCTGCACTGTCCAATGTGGTACCCTGTAGCCACGCATGGCTGTTTAAATTTAAATTAATTAAATTAAGCTGAATAAATTTGAAAAATCAGTTGCTAGCCACATTTGGAGTGTTCAGTGGCTGTGTGTGGCGAATGGCTACGGAATTGAGCAGTGCAGAAGAATGTTTTCATCCTTGTAGAAAGTTCCACAGGACTTGGCTGGTCTAGGGGTTAAATCGTATGGTTGGGAATAGAGGAGCTTTGAAATGGAAACCTGTGAGGGCCAGAGGAGCTGAGGACAGCTCATTGCTGGGCCCTGAGCAAGTTTTAAAGTGTTTAAGGGGCATGAAGTAAGCTAACAGGATGTTTTAAAGAAAGGTTACGAGTCGCTGAGGTTGGGGCCTGTGGTTCTTTGAGGGAAGGTTTCAGAGACGCTGTCCTTCTCTTGGGGCCCTGGCCCGTGTCTATTGCAGTATGGCTCTTGGCATCCACTGAGGAAGGATCAAAGCAGGCCTGGCTCATGGTCCTTTTTCACTTGTGAATTCTGGGCTTTGACAGAGCTTGAACATAATCTCCAGCTAAGATCTGGGATCAGTGGCTTACAGAAGGCAGGGGGTGGAGAAAAGCGGCCCAAGGCTTCCGGCCTAGATATTGGTGGGTGTCTGGGAAATAAAGGGCCTCCTTTTCAGGAAGGTGAAGGTTTTGGTATCCAGTCTATGGTGTTTCAACTGCTTGGGATCTGAGAAGTTGGGCCATGGTCAGTTGATGGTTTTACTTAAGTAGCAGGTGCAGGGGATTCAGGGCAGGCCTAGAGGAGCCAAGCTTCAGGACTGCTGGAGGCAGACTTGATCCCTGGCCGGATCCTGGGGTAGTGGGAGGGGCTAAAGCTCCTGTCTCGCTGTGGAGTCTGCCAGGAGAAGTGTCAGCCACAGCAGGGAAGGACAGGGCACTCAGTGTTTGCTTCTGAGTCCTTTAACAATTCCCGGGTGGCCCTGCTGTGTTCTGATCCAGGATTCTCCCTGGTGGCTTGATGTCTGTGGCACAGGATTCCTACTTTCCTTCTTCCTCGCCTC